GTTAAAGACTCCTACTGGGAGTGACGTTAATTTGCTGCCGGAGACCTCAATATTTTTCAGGTTCTTCAGTCCCTCGAACGCTCCCAGCTCGATGGATGATATGTTACTGTTTATGAACTCCACCTTTTCAAGCTGTGGGTTTTCAGCAAAGGCTCCTTTTGGTATTGTTGTAATGCGGCTGTCCAAAAAAAAGACTTCTGTCACTTTGGGTCTGAGAGAGCGTGGGATCTCTGTAGCTAAGCTAAAAATTGCCTGGTTCTCTTTGGGGCAGTCAGTCGCCTTTTCACATGGTTGTGTTTCAGCCAGTGAAAGGTCAGGCATGAAAAGTAGAAAGAAAACGATGATCTCGCCTCTGGACATTTTTATTCACTAGAAAAAGAAAAAAATATTTTTACCCTCATGCAAAATTTTCAAAAATTACATTTTGGTTTGTAATTCAGCATGATTTGTTTTTAATGCATCAAATTCAGACCTGCAATTTCTCTGGAAAATCTTTTTTTTAAAACCTAGTCAAATATCAAAGAAAAAGGTACCTACCAGGTTATTTCTTTTGGAGGATGAAGCTCCAGCAAAAACGAGACACATGCGAGTTAGGTAACTATTACTGAGGCTCCAACAGGCTGTAAGTCTGTTGCATCTGAGGCGTGGCGCAGCACACGTCTGCAGCCTGAGATAAGAGCAAGGCATCAGTTTTTTAGTTACTGCACACGTCTGCAGAGTGCATCCAAGATTGTGGAGTTTTTCTTTAACGTCATACATAGCTGTGTGACTAATGTTTAACACATGCTTAACACAATCAGGCCAGTTAAAATGCACATGTGTTTGTTATTTTGTTTTTTTTACTTCCTCACTGGAACGAAAAAATACGACATGCACGACATCATTTTTGATGAATTTGTTGTTTGTAATCGTAGGCAAGCTTCGGGTGGAGCTTTTGGATTCCAGCTAAAGTGTTTCAGACTTTATCGTGACTGTTTTCCATTAGATGGCAGTGAAGGTACTGTGGATGTAGAAGGGATTTTACCAACAGGACAGTAGATGTAACTGGGTGTTTAACCCAGGGTATTGTGTTTTGGACTTCTTAGTTTAATTTGTTTTCCATCTCTTACATGACCTGGTTTGTTTTTATTGTCCGAGTCTCCCTCTGTTCTTTGCTGTGTCTTCCCTCGTAGCAGCGTGTCTCCCTGACACATGTTGTCCTTGTATACCTGTACTCTGATTTCCAGTTTTTGCTCTTTTGTTTTTTCCTCGGATAGTCAGCATTACAGTTAGATTTTAAGTTTACTCATTGTTTTCTAAGTCCTGCGTTTGGGTCCACATCCTGCCTCCCACACAGCCGGACCTTGACAATGGTGCTCATGCTGACACTCTGTACTCAGCTATTATGTATGGATTTATGTGATTGAAGCGTGAGGCTTGCCTTGTTTCTTTTAATTTTACCATATTAAAATAAATGAATTTAAAAAGAAATTAGTGCTCCTGGATTGTTGTTTTTGTTTTATTAAATGTACAACCCACTATGTCAGTGTCATGCTGAAAACGTTCACGTGTTTAAAATCATTTTCACAAGAATTCAAACATGAAACAACGTCTATATTTATATAAATAATGTCAGACTTGTCAAACCTAGTATGAATGGTGAAGCTCAGCAAATAAGAGACACAGCGTGCACATGCTCTCACTAGAAGTGTTGCATTTATTCAGGCTATTGAAGCGTGATGTATAGTATAGTAAACACCATATTACATCTTTTGTATGTATATTGTAACGCTTTTGCAAAGAAGTTCAACTGTTTGCTACATGTTGTGTTGTTAGCACAAAATCAGCCGTCAAGCTGCAACAATTGCTAATGAAAAACAGTCGTTGGGGGGGTTAACTCAACAGGCGAAGCATGTTTCAGGTTACATTCACAAATATGTCCAGGTTGGCCAAAGGTTGTTAAGGCGTTTGTTGTTAGTATTTAAGATGCACAGTCAGGAAGACACACTGAGGGGTAAATCTGATGAATAAAACTGAAAGGTAATGAACTTTCTGGTGCCTTTGAGGCTCAATTACCAACTCTTCAAAGTCGCCCTCTAAAAGTTCTTGTGTGCTTGGTTTGAATTGCAGTCTACAGCACAGAGTTCGTACTGCGGCCTATATTCCCCGTGCCACTCTTATTTCTCCTCCAGCAAATGCAGCTGATAATTACAGTGCTGATGATGACAGTGCACACTACTGCGATGACAATTAGCGTGATTGAAATATCACGAGAAATGCTTCCAGTATCCCCTTGTCCACTCCTGGTTACCCTTTCATACTCTGAGGTGGGGGTCGTCTTGACAGCAGGTGAGGGGGTGCTTCTTTTGGCTGGGGGTGTATGTGGCCGCCTCCTCTTCTCTGTTGAGGTCAGCACGGGCTCCTGAGTAGAGCTGAGAGATACCAGGTTCTCATCTGCCAGCAAAGCAATCATCTCGCCATTCAGACTGGAAGGAGTGTCACAGACCACAAGGCTTTGGTTGGTCTTTGATGGGTGCTGCTTCAACCAGTCCCTAAGTGGCAGAATATCCTTGTCACACCTCCAGGGTTTTTGCTGGAGGAGTACTTCCTGTGATGCAGTAAGGGTGTCTAAACTCTCCTGTGGTAGGTTAGGGAGGGAATTGTTTCGCAGGTCTACCTGTCCCAGGTGGGTCAGACCCTGGAGGAAACCACGTGGGAGGGACTTGATGAAGTTGTGTTCCAGAGAAATGTTGACCAGTCTTGGTAGCACCTGGAAAGTCCCAGCTTGCAGGGTCGTGATCCGATTGGTGTGCAGGGATACCTCTCCCAGCTGCTCCAATCCTCTGAATGCACTGGTGGATACATAACTAATCCGGTTACGACTGAGGACCAGGAGGCGCAACTGAGTCAGGTTCCTGAACGTGTCATCTTCCACACGACTCAGCTTGTTGTCATACAGCCACAACTCCTGAAGGGCCATGGGCCCAAACACCCTTGGCCCCAGAGTCTCCAGCTGGTTTTCATACAGGGAGATCTGGGAAAGATTTGGCAAGTTTAGGAAGATCCCTTCTGGGAGAGACGTGATCTTGTTGTTGGAGAGAAACAGCTTCTGGAGTTTTGGAGTCTTGGAGAACAGGTCACGGTTGAGGTGAGTGATTTGATTGTCTTGTAGTGACAGCTCTCCCAGGTTTACAAGGTCATCCAAAGTACCAGCTTGAAGCTCCTGTAGCATGTTTTTATTAAGGCGTAAAGTTATGATCTGAGAAAGCCCCTTAAAGGTTTCTCTAGATAGCTGGCTGACTTTGTTACCAGAAAGGGAAAGGTAGCTCAACTGTTTCAGTGGATGAAAAGTTTCCACAGGTACTGCAGTGAAAAGGTTCCTACTAAGGTCAAGTCTTCTAAGCTCGGTCAACAGGGAAAACCACTGAGGGCGAAGTACTAAGAGCTTGTTGATGCTTAGTATCAGAGTCTCGAGTTTCTGCAGATTTTTCAACAAGGCTTCTGGCAGATCCTGCAGTTGGGTACCAGTTAACGTTAAGGACCCGATATGTGGGGTTGAATTAAACGTGCCAGGGCGCACTTCCCTCAAAAGAGATTCTTTAATTATCAACAAATCCAATGAATTCGTCATGTGTTCTGGCTCCAGAGAGTTAAAACTGCATTTTGAAAAATAGAGTTTGGTGGCAGATGCCGGCAGCGGCATGGGGAAGTTTGACAGGCCAATGCATTGGACTGTGCTTCCTCTACATTGGCATCCATCCGGACACGCCCAGACAACACTGAGGGCCATGAGAAGTAGCAGTACAGGAAGTGTCATTGGCAGCTCCATTATTGCCCTAAAATAGAAGAAACATATATGTTGATTGGTTACATGCCAAAGTCACCGAACAAATCAGTGTGAGCCATGTTTTTGCCATATTTAAGAAAAAGAAGTTTGGATACATTAAGATTGTGAACAACCTGTGGGGATTTTGCTTCATGTGGGAGGCCAGCAAACGCTCATTAAAAGGAGTTGTTACACAAACGTTGTTATCTTTGCTAAAGTAACTGAACTGCTCCACTTTGGATGTTCATGAGGGAAAATGGACGTTGTTGCATTTCTGGTGTGTTGACGCCACACTACTCTGAAATTTGATTTATTATTGCAAAACCTTTTTGCTTACAGGGCAGTAAAGACAGAAAATGATTTATTTATCTCCTCTCCATGTCAGATTGGGATCACAGTGATAGGAAATTTACTGAATGCAGCTCTAATTAGTAACAGTCTTTTACTGCTACAATGTAACCTGCATTATTAACATTGCGTTAATAATATATCCTACATTGATATTGCATTAAAGATGTTTATTAAAGCTATTGCCACCACGTTAACCTTTTCATTACAGGTGCAGCCATGATTATTTAAACACATCGCATGTTTGTGCTCGTTCAGTGTTGATGCTCAGTCTGTTGAAGAAGGTTTTAAGCTTTGTGAAGCGCTCTGTCTTCACAATCTACTGTGTAGGTGACTCAGAGCACAGAAGGATAAACAGCGTACACCCTTACAAACACATATAATCCTGCCAGGCCAAAGGCCCGAAATTCATTTAGCTTCTAACTGCATTTCAGTTTGCTTGGTAACGGATGACAGAAGACCAGTCAAGAAAGGACAAGCTCTTAGAGACCATCTAGGCTTGAAATTTATTGCCATGTATGGAAGGTGTTATAGAAAGAGGAACTTCTGTGTCTGTTTTTAGCCATCTAAGACGTACCATTTACTGTAATCGATGTATTTGATCTGTAATCGATGTGAGAAGGGGCGTAAACCCTGATGTTATAAAAGCATTTTCAAGTGTGTTCTTAGCAGGAGACGTGTGCTGATGTGATGCTGCAGACTGTGTTTTAATAATCTCATCGTTTGATTGCACTCTTCTGGGCCTCTGTTGGTTCGTTTCATTGCTCAACATTTTCAAACCCGTCACAGTCTTCATGTTGTAGCCTCTGAGTTTGTGTTTCATCCAAGAAGCCGACATTTGCATAAATGAATCCAGCGTTGCCCGTAGCTAGGAGCACTACCCACCAACAGGACTGACTGCTAAATGCTCGGCAGGCCTCTGGCAGCAAAACCGTGTATGCAGCATTTGTGTTAAGCAGTAATTTTGAACCACTCATGCCTGAATAATTTGTTTTGCAATCATTTTTGAAAGTGAACACTGAATATTTGTTAGCAAATGAAATCCAGTGTTTTGTCTGCTTCTCAACATGCCAGCCTGCCTGCACAAGTTTGGAAGCTGAGCTGTTCTCACTGTTTGTAGAGGCTCAGACGGCTCCTGGAACAAAACCAGCATCATGACCTGCTTCTCCACACAAATCCACCAAATTCACAGTCCTGCAACGGAGGGCTGGCAAGCCTGAGTTGCTTCTCAGTAGATGGATTAGTTTGCAACAAGAGTCTCTCAGGAAGGAACTTTGTAAAGACAAAATAAAATATCCTTCAAACGAACTCAAAGGCATCAGATTTCTTAACTTCCTTCTTTCTTTTACATCAAAAGCAGAAGGTCATAAAAATGCTGGTCCGTCCCAGCTGCTCACATTTTAACACATTTTTCTGTTTTCATTAAAGGTTGGAGAGGTGGTACTAGCTTCCTGCTGTGAGGGTGAAGTCATTGTTTCCACTGCTATTACAATTTTATAACCTTTACATGACTTCATACTAACATAATACCTCATTTAATTCCTCATAATTCTTATTTCTTTTAACTTTCCTATGAGAGACACCGAACAGTTTCATGATTATTTCCACTTTTCAGAGTTCAGACTTTAGTCATAGACGGGTTTCTAATTACCGAACTACTGAAAAATAAAATATGGGTATCCATGGAGTACCCTCCTTTTGTTATATGGGATCATTTTCGCCGTATTAAAAAGCCGAGGAGCAGCAGGAGGGAGAAGAAAAGGTAAATTAACACCTGAACTATGTGTCATCTCTGGCAGACTTTATCCTCTCAGTCCAACCCAAAACCTCTGTCATTTCGTCACTGGGACAGCCTGGAATGATCTGTATTGTAATATAACGGTTAAACCATTTCCAGCTCACCAGTAATTCCTTAGATGTTTTTCTCCCTTCGATAATTAAAGGCTCAGAACATTATGTTCTGTGAAAAGCGCGTAGGAGCCGAGCTGCAGAAGGTCACTCGTGTTTTATTTAACATGTTTTGATGAACATAAAAAATACACTTTGTCATGTAATTCAAAATGTAACTCTTATAATAATGACACATTAAAAAGCTAATTGTTTTACACATGAAAACACATGACTATACAATGTATTATAAATGTAATATTTAAAAAATAACAAGAAGAAAAAGTAACAGACTTTATATCTTATTCCACGTTACTGTCACAGACTTCTTTAT